ATTTGATTGGAAGCTTCCAATCCAAATAATTTTATTAATAAATTATGCTTCCAAACCTTCCAAAAGTGCTTCCAAAGATGCTTCCAATCTTCCAAGTACATATCACTGCTTTACAGATATAGCACGAGCTAAATGTACTATAGGATCATGCTGCCTTTCATTAACAGCAATAATAGAATCCTATGCAGTATTTTCTAAAAATCTTTTTACCTCATCCCAAAAAGGATTATATATTGATATTTGACTTTCATTAAAATGCCTAAGATTTGTAACTAATTCTGGATTATTTAAATCAAATGCTAACCTAACTCTGACATCTATTTCAGATTCATCTGCAGAATAATCTTCCATAAATTCTTTATATATATAACGAACTTGAGATTTTTCAACATTTTCAAGAAACATTTCACATGTATTAACAAATTCTTTTCTCATTGCCTGAGTAGCATATTTAGGCATAGATTCCTTTAATTTATTACAGACTTCATAATTTTTCTCAAATGCTATAGATTCATCAGCATTTGAATCAATCTTCCAAATAAAAGTAGTATTTATTACATTTCCGTGCTGGTAAATATAAATTCCAACTTTAAATGGAAATACTTCTTCTAACTTTTGCAACGCTAAAAAAAAATTTAAATTAGTTTAACATTAATTTTTATTTCTAATAATAAAATATTCTAATTTTAACTTACGAATTGTTTTCAGAATAAAATAGATCCACATTAACTTTTTCCCAATATGTCACAGTTTTAACAGCATCAATAAGTTCTTTATATTTCTTGACTAATTCCAAATTCCTAAATATAACAGGTATAATAATTTTCAATTTTTCTGTATCCTCTTCATTTACTATAGGTACCATTAATTCATGATTTTTTTTTGTTTGTTCAGCTTTATTAATTAAGTAGTTAGCATAATTAATAAGATCAGAGGTAAATTTGGTTAAAAAGGGTTTTAAAAATGAGAAACATGAATGATCTAGCTAAGACATTTTAAGGTGAGCGCTTAAATTTTGATAGTAATGATTTAGATCATCATAGGTAAATATTGGATGGCCTTTTTTACTTCTCAAAGGATCATAACAATTAACAAACTGCAAGAAATCTGCTGGTATTGTAAACCTATCATTGAATGTTTTGTAACCACATTTGTCAATATATCAAAAAGCCTCTGCTAAATCTCTTATAAATTTTTTTTCAGATAGTATAAGATCACTTGTCCAACCAACACTATGAGATCCTACATAAGAAGCTATTTCTAATTTTAATTCATCATTTGATTTTAGTTCTTCTGAAAAACTAAATGTTAGTAGTGTTCTTGTTTTTGATGAAGTCATTAATATATCAAAAGCATTTTTTGGAGGTGAATCATCATATGAATCAAATTGTATGTGAAATGTTATATAACTACCAAAGGTTTCTATTACATCAGCAACGAAACATTCCATTTAAACACTAACACCTAAATGATCTTTTTTCATTTAAATATATGTATCTATTTTAGTTATTAATTCATTTTCTATCTGCGGAGTATATTGAGTAATTATATAGTCAAACAAGTTTTATATAGTTACTTCTTTTATGATATTGTTACGCCAGTTCTTTAAAACGCTCGACTTAAATAAGCGTTATGTTTACATGTGCAGAAGGTTTCCTTCGTAAAGAAGATAAAGAACTTAACTATAATTTTATAAGTGTAAAGAAAATATAATAATTCACGTAGGATAAATGATTAACAAACAAAATTATAGTACTGCCTCTGTCGACGCGTCTGTACTAAACAGTTTATTTATTAAAGACTTTAAAACTACTAAACTAATATAAGACAAAACTGAAACGATCTATCGATACTTGATCCTAAGTTACTCCTATTTATATAAAAACTATCC